GACCCACCTCTTCCATGAACATCTAACCAACCCCTAAAAAACAAACAAACAAACAAACAAACAAAAAAAACCCTTACTCTGGTAATTTCACCTCTACTCTGCACACTTTGCTTCTTCTAGAACTCAAGTAATGGATCTTGTAATGGTAGCACTACTTGCATTGTTCTCTGCTTGATATATCGGTTTGCTTTTATTTTCTCATTTGCAAGTTACTTTGGATAAAAGCACCTGCTAAATGAAAAAATGTAAATGTAGATCAATGGGAACACTGGGTGTGACACAGAGGCCCTGGTTACACTAGTGCGTTTTCGTTTTAAAATGAAAACGATCCTCGTCCACACTGGCGTTTCCGTTGTGTTTCAAAAACGATCTCCATCCACGCTACACGATAGAAAACGCAGGTCACATGACCATTCATGCACGCTGGGCATGCACATACAAGTGTAGACAGGAAGTTGGTTGCTAGTCCAAACCGGTGTTCAGTGTAGGGCTTACGCCACTCCAAATGAGATTTCTTGCTGATCGCTCTAATCATAGCTCGCCTCTTGCGCATGGAGGTAGCTGCAGTGTTATAAATTACAGAATTGAACTGCAGAATGGGTGCTAAGAATGACAACAAAGCCAGCAAAGCTTGCAGTTCAATCTGTGTTGTTGTGTATACGATCAAGGTAGTGTAACAGTCACATGGTAGGGGCTTGAAGAATCAGGGAAGGATACACAACGATCCAGAAGACCCAATCAGGAGACGAATGTGGGCGAAGCCACGCCTTCATTTTCAAGTCTTCATTTTCGACCGTTTACACTGAAACGCGAGCTTTCAAACTTAAACGGGGACTTCTGTGTTTCAAAAAGTCTCCGGAGTAGTGCAGACAACCGGGGTAACTGTAGCAACAGTTATGCGTTTTAAAACGCACTCGTGTAAACAGGGCCAGAGGCACACAAGGAATAGGACACTCGTTCACACACTCATTCACACCATAGGGCAATTTAGAGCAGCCAATTCACCTACCAGCATGTTTTGGGAAAGTGGGAGGAAACCAGAGATCCCAGAGGAAACTCATGCAAACATAAAGAGAACTGTGAACCTCCATGCAGACAGTAACCTGAGCTTAGGAACGAAACCGCGCATCACAGTCACACCCATATAATGAATGTGCGAAAGAAAATAAATGGCAAGCGAAAACATACAATTTTAAAAAATATTCTTTAATTGAGCTCATTTGGGCAAAAAAAAAATTCAGCCATCCTCCAAAAAAAAAAACAAAAAAAAAAACCAGATCGTAATATACAACAGCTGGCAAGGACAAGGTTAATGTGTCTAATTATCAGTAATATGCAGTGGATTCAACTTCTGCGTCTGCTTTTAAAGTGGTGACTGCGTACATGTGACAAACACATTTTTTTTTAAAGTTCTTTTTTAATGTATTCCAAGTAATGTTAGAAATAGAAAATGAACCCTGAGAGAAACTGTTTTTTTTGTTTTTTTTTTCTTTCCTCAAGACAGACACAGCAAAAATAAACTGGGAAAAGGTGACAGACAGATTTAAAAGAAAGCAACGGACTAAAATTCAAACGAGTTAAAAGGTAAATTAACTAAATTCAACAAATAATATTTCTCGGATTCACTGGGCTGCTCACCCGTTTTCTTTTCATTTCTTTTTAGGTAGTCATTTTTAATAACCATTTTCATCACATTGATAACATTCATCAAATGATTACTTTCTTTTTTTTTATTTAATGGTGGAGGGCAATTATTTCAAGGGCCTTATGTCCTTATATGTATTTTTGGTGTTTATAGTAGCACTTGCCAATTAGCTAAAGTTACTCAATTCATTCAGATTTAGTAAGAAACTTTTACACTCACCATCCATTTTAATAGGAACACCCATGCACCTGCTTATTTATACAGTTATCAGTCAATCACATGGCAGCAGCACAATGCATAAAACCATGCAGATACAGGTCAAGATCAAATATCAGAATGGAGGAAAATGTGATCTCTGTGACTTTATCCATGGAATGGTTGATGGTGCCAGATGGGCTGGTTTGAATATTTTAGAAACTCCTGATCTCCTGAGATTTTCCACGTAACGGTCTCTAGTTTAGCCAGAATGCTTAAAAAACAAAAAAAACAAAACAAAAAAAACAACAACAATCCAAAAACATCATGTGAGCTCAGTGTCTGGAGGCTGAAACACCTTGTTGATGCGAACGATCGATCAGAGGTCTGAGCTGACTAACCCAAACTGGGCCATTGAAGACTGGAAAAAAGACCAGGTGAAAATCTGCATGATTTTATGCATTGTGCTGCTGCCAAATGTTTGGCTGATTGGATAACTGCAAAAATGAACAGGTGCTCATTTTACATGTACAGGTACATGTGTTCCTATTAACGTGACCAGTTTATGTAAACCACCTGGAATGAATATTAAAAGGCAATATATAACGACTTTACAGTTTATATTTGACATGGAGAAAGCAGGAGATGAAAACTTAAACTGGCAAAATTATGAACACGTTAACTTCATTATCACCTTCCAATGTCATAAAACAAACAAAAACTAACATAACATTTACCCTATACAGATAAAAATGACTAAACAGCTTGTGGTTAAACTCTCACATCCCCCCCGCCAAGACATTTAGCTATCTTTGTACAAGATATGTTAAGAAAGATTTAAATGCAACAAACCTTTCATTGGAACTATACCAAAATTACACCAATTATGTACACTAAGCCTCAAACCTCCATCACTCTAGCCTAATTCAGTTTTAGATGCATTACCATTTTACTAGAATGTACCACACCACTCCTGCTGAAAACAGCCAGTAGACGCTACACTTAAATACATGAACGCAAACAGGTGAAACTAAGAACAAGACATCATCATCATCAAGACATACTACTGTCTGAGCTGGGGGACTAAAAATATATATATACATATATATTTACAAAGCTGACATACATTAAATCAGTAGAAATGCATTACATGACCATGTTAAAAACAATACATGGAAGCAAGCAGTGAGAAATGAGCACTCCAACTAAAAGCATACAAGGTGCTGAGGGTAGAATGACTTCCTGTTCATTATAAGATCATGGTAAATCAGCTGCTAACAAGTGACACTATTTAATACTCACTATCACCTTATTTATACATGTTATGTGCACTGGCAACTTTGTGATGGATTCTCGTGCTGGAGAAAAACGTTCACAGTGAAATATTTTGTTTGGATATTCAAGATGTCAAACACGACAAGATCACTTCATCCCTCAATTACCATCATGTCTACACGAGCCCCAAGAAAAAAAAAACCACAAGAACAAAATTTTTAACCAGAATTGTAAACAAAAAAGCTAAACATGCTTTGTGCTGTGGGGGAGATGATGCAGGGTACACTTAAAAAAAATGTATAAGTCAACACAGTTAACAAAGTCATTTTAGACTAATGTCTAAAAGCCACAATCAAGGATTGGTGAAGGTTTCGGTAGAAGCCATTATAGCGCTTTACACAAAACAATACTAAGATGTCCAATCATAAAACGCGTTCATTTTCGAGGCCAAAACAGGACAACAAACAGTAAAAAGAGAAAACCATTGATAAACTTTCTCAAAAGTGATTACTCACACTGACATTTCTGCTTGTGGTTTTAAAGCTATCCAAGAACAACTGTACCTCACAGTCAGCCAGCCACAAGATAAAAACAAAAAAAACCAAAAACAAATCCAACCTACAGATTCCAAAGGCAAAATGCGAGCCATGTAGGGGTTATTTAATGTGTTTGTTTACTGGTAATGGTCGGTTATATCCAAGAAATGCACAGCCTTCTTTTTTGTGAATTTATCCTTTATGGACAGAACTGAACGGTATTTAAAGAAATGATCCATTTACTTTTGCTTTACACCAGAGGTCATGCTCCAATCTTATCTGCAAGGAGCTTATGGTATTTATCTAATCAATCGTGGACTTCAAATGAAGATTAGTGTCATTTATTTAGCTGGAATTAAAAACCTGCAGTCTCACTGACTTACGCAGATTAAAATTGTTACACCATACTACTACCCGACTCGTTACTACTGTAGATGTCTTAATAAACCCAATTACAGTGCAGTTTCACTGTGGTACTGAGTGACTGAATTTGAGAAATTGGAATGGTTAGTTGTATCCACATGTAAAAAAATAAATAAATAAAAAAAAATAAATGGTAGTAAATCCTGCCTCACCAGATCACTTTAACTACTTGACTCATTACATGAAAATGCTGCACTTCCTTTTAAAACAGATCTCCTTCCCCAAATTTCACTGTACTGTGACTCAGAACTGTTTAGTCACCTGTAAAAAGAAACCTGGCTGCACTGCACAATTCAATTCAAACGGCATACATAGCACTTATGTAACCCAAAAGTCATATTACAGCAATGAAGGCTGAAGCCACATCGGCACTAACCCCTGAAGTGCTTAAGAGCTTCCACTTCTCTTACAGAACGCATATATGAAATAAGTCATTGAAGGCAAATAAACAAAGACAAACAAAGGCTAATAGGTTAAATAAAGCGTAATAAAAATGCACGCTAAAAAGAGGTATTGAACTTACAAATGATGAAAAGAATATTGTACATGAAACAGGTCACTATTATTATAATAATAAAAAAAGTCTGTCCTTTGTTCTCCAACAACAATATCCTTCAGCCAATTTGTCTTTCCCCTTTTCTTCCATGTTTGTCCCTTCACTCTCCTGCTTCTCCTGAGAACATCACCACATCTCACCTTGCCCAATGATCTCTACAGAAGAAGTTTGCCATTGCGGTGTATTTTCAAAATCTTTCCCAGTCTCTGTTTAGCTGTGGCAAGTCCTTTCTTTGGGCGTTTCCCTGTAAGGAGGGAAAACAATTATTTGCATTTTGCATTTCAGGCAGTTTTATTCGAAAGGATTTGAAAATGAGCCCCGATATCGTTTATAGAACCGAGCAGCAGGTTAAGGCCCTTGCTCGAGGGCCCAGCCACTGCTGGGATTTGAACTCATGACCTTCCGATCAGCAATCCAACATCTTAACCACTGAGTAACGACTACACTACTTAGTGACATGTCAGTTTGGGATATTTTGGTTGATTAACGAACAGATGTGCTGTTGCTTTTTGGAGTTACGAGATATACAGGCACACCTAAGAAGTGAAATAATGTCAACCAGCTGGGGGTAAAAACAAATACAAAGGGTACAGAAAATACACACCGCCCATAAAGACTGAGCAAGGCAGGACCTCCTTATCCAGGAACTATTCATATTTATGCATGCTTTGGACTCATGTACATGCTACAAATGTAGAATGCTAATCTACACTCCAAATGATGCAATGATGTGAATTTAGTGCTGTACAGCCCACCGCTAACAGCCTCTTGGGTTTACCTTGTCCTACCCCAGCAGCCCCAGGACTTGCCATCCCAGCTGGTGAGGGTGCAGAGGGGGAGTAGCTGCTGCTGTTCTGCGGAGAGAGAGAGGGTCGTCTGGAGGTGAGGAAAACGCCTGGAGCCATGGCAGCGCTCCCTCTAGGGCCACCTGGGCCAAATGGGCCCGGACCCGCTGTGTATTCATGGTCCAGCAGGCTGGCCGAGTACGTCTCTACTCTCCTCTCTTCTGCAATACAGTCCACCAGAGGCTCAGGAGGCAGCGGTGGCGACATTGAGTCTGGCTGTATCTGGAGATGGGATGCTGCTGAATGCCCTTTTTCTTGAGGGATCTTCTTTTTTGTGTATTTTCTTTTTGTTGTAGTCTTCTGTTGCTCCTAACACCAAAGAAAGAAAAATCAGTACACAGCACTTGATTTGTAAATCCAGTGCCTACTTGGCTGCTTTGTGCTCACCTGCTGTGCCAGTTTGGCAGCAGCGGCAGCAAGCCCAGTCTCGACAGATGCCACTCGGGCACCCTCCCTCACTGGCCGCTCCTGCTTAGGCAGGGTGGGAGTCACACGAGCTGATATCGAAGAAGCAGCAAAAGAAATTCTGTCAATTACGTATGCGCTTGGGTGGCTAGAAGAGAATCCTAATGAAATCACTGACTAGAATATAATTGCAGTGTAATACCTTTAGGACTCCATGGTGTATCATCCCAGTTTCTCTTTCTCTTCATTTTGGACTTCAGTGTGTGTTCTTCCTCATCTGACTCTAAGGAAGGGTACACTAAAGAAAAGGGAAAATTATAAAACTGTTTACAGGAGAGTTTACTTGTTTACACGACTCATATGCATTATACAGGAGCAGCACGGAAAATAAAATCCAAAATTTCAGTGCTTATGTGACTAGACTGCACAATATACAAAAGTATGATTATTGTATTTTTGTAGTGTTTGCTGCTATAAATAGATAGAATAAACAGATAGAATCCAAGGCAAATCAAGCACGGCTAGGAACGTATTGCAAGCTTGGACACAGTGCTGCTAAAGCGGTGTGTAGTTACCACAGCTGGGGTACTGTCTGAACCCACCATAATCAGAGTCTTTAAAACAAGTTCCCAGCGTCTCCTGCTCGTCAGGACTGTCGTCGTCACTGAGATGCCTGGCAGGCCTTTTGATGGGCCGCTTGCCTGGCCTTTGGATGACAGCCTTCTTCTCACTCTTCTTCTCTGCACCACCCACCCACATGGCCCTCCTGGCTTTGTTCTTCATTGCCCCCAGCCTCTCACCCCCTCCAGACATAGACAAAGGAGAGGAGGAGGCAGAGGAAGAGGACGAGGATGAGGAAGAAGAAGAAGGAGGATTGGCCATAGATAACATGCCCTGGATGGCATCTCGGGTACTGGGAGAGGCTGGTGCTTCCTCGCTACATAACACGACAAGAAACAAGCAATGATATCATTTAAGCAGTTTGCCGTTTGTTCCCATTTCCCCCTAAATGTACTTCATCACCCTCAGTGGATGCTTAAACAAATGCTTCTGGTACACCAAACTGTGCTGCAAAGTAGGAATGAATCGGTTACTGGTTTCACAATAAAATTCCCCTACGGTTAGTATTACCATGTCACATTTAATCAATTATGGTTAAAACTGCACGATTATCGCGATTTGTAAAGCATAAAAACGGACACTACAATTAAAAACTGAACGCGTCTGCTCAATTCAGCTGAACGAGTCAGTCGCAGCACAGATCAGCAGGGGTCAGGTTTCTTTTATCACGTGATGAAAGTGAGGCGAGCTGACTGACAAGACGATGGCGGAAGATTTGGTTTAATACAAGTTTGTCATTGGACTGTTTTGTTGTTGCAGCAACTTTCTTCTGGCAAGCTCTGCAGACAGAGTTACCATTAATAAAACTTCTATTAAGTTTTCCTCAGCATTTTTATAAAATCCAATACAGGACACACTTTAAATTTGATCCTCTTGGAAGGTTGGGAATTCTCCCGAGCGCCATCAATACCTTCCGCCATGTTCTCTAACTGAACTAAATGATCGCAGCAAGCATAGGGACAACCATCCATCATTTTATAGTCAAATATAAAACCTGTTTAAACAATTTCAGTGTGTATCAGCACTTTTTGTACATTTTCAGCACATTTTAATACTGATAACCGTGATAGTTTTGGTCACGATAATCGTGATATGAAATTTTCAAACCGTTACATCTTTACTGCAATGTATTTTTTCCCCACCAAGCAGGACTCAGGACTCCAAACTTATATTTCAAAAGGTGTAGTTGGTTCTGTACCTGAGGGTGGGGTCCAAGCCAGCTACCTGTTTGCTAGCCTTAAGCAAGTCCAGGATTCCCCCTGCTCCTGCTTTTAATCCTTGCACAGTGAGCATCTCTTCATCTGTGGTGTAATCCTCCTGAGTGACACCCGAAAGATTTACTCCAGGCAATACATTTTTTGCAGCTCTACCACGTTACTCTATACTTTATGCAAAAGGACTGAGCTCAGGTTTACCTCAATGTCAAAATCCACCTCCCCAGGCTCTCTGATGCGGTGTGGGTCTGAACATGGTTTTGCTCGTGGTAGTTTCCTGGGAAGACCTACTGCAGAGCGGTATTGGCTTGATATTAGATAAACAAAAATAAGTGTGTATCACAAAGGAAAAAAAAAACCCCACATGATCCTACCAGCTAGTTTCTTTTTGCTGGGTACGACTGGCTTGCGGCGAGGAGGAGGACTTTCATCTATCTGAAGCTCATCTTCAGAATCAAAGTCTGATGAAAGAGCTGAGCTGCTTGTTAGAGGCTGGAATTGAGCAGTGCGTCCTGCTCCATTAGTATTACCAGATCGGCCCCCCTTCTTCCTAAAAGGAAGGCAAATGAGAGGATTATAGAATACATAGAAAATGTAAGGGATGTAATACTGTGGCTGATAAAAGTCCATACCCTTGTATCTTGCCATTGGTGAGAACCAGCTTAAGCTTGCTCTTATTTATTTTCCCTTCAAAGTCCTCCACACAGGCACCAGGCAGGTCCATCTTTTGGAAAGAAAGAAACACTGAAATGCTGACAACCTATAAGGATATCAGAAGATTCGCCCAATCCAAAGTCATTGTTATATGCTACCTTGCTCTTGTTTTTGGCTTTATTTCCTGATTGAAATTTCTTCAGGGTGTGTTTAGTATGAATCTCAAGCAGATCCAGCTCCCCTGCCTCCATCTTTATTTCCTTCCCTTTCTGGCCTTTTTTCTTGACCCCTGGAGGGCCTACGCCCACAGCAACAGGGCCTTCCTTGGGTTTAGGGCCTCTTTTTTTACCCGGAGGTCTGCCAGGGTTGTGAGGAGTGGTTAATGGAGGTTTGGGGTGAGCAGAAGGAAGGGCCTGTGAGGTACCGAAGGGAGCCCCACTTCTGTTTATATTCTGCTGGAAAATGTCCTGTCAAGAAATAAACATAGAAATGCATTCCTAACTCCTTTAAAACTCCAAACGTCCAGTGTATTCACACACATTTACTGAACAGAGTGATCCTTACCTCTACAAGTCGTATCTCTTTAGCCAGGTCCTTCACCAGCTGTTGGGTCTTAATGGTTTCTGGGATCTCATCCTCATGCTCAGACAAGGACTGAAGAGCGAACAATAAAAGAACACAAACTGCTTTTTAGTTAAGTCAATCTGGCTGTCAAAAAACCGCTGAACATTTGACAATGATGACACTAATGCAATAGCAAACTATAGAACAGATTCTTTTTTTGGTTTTGTTTGGGTGAAATAAGTGAGTGTTTATAGTGAAATTTATAGTTTTCATTTTACAGCCTTACCCGTGTTGTGTTTTGGGCCACTGTGCCAATTTATGGTTGTGGAATTATGCCATAATGACGGTTACACAGTGCTGCCACAAGCACTGAGCAAATACCAATAATTAGTGTACTATTTAGTTGTAGTGTATGTATGATGTGCAAATGCTTCGCACAATGTAAGCCCAGTAATAAAAGTGTAAACTTTCAATTTTACGTGATTGTGACAAATCACCTCTTTGCGAGTCCAGCTTCGGAAGGCATTATTGAGAGCCTTGGCTCCATTGACCAGATAAGAGGCAGGGTGCCGCCGATTTTCCCTCAGACCTACATAACAACAAACAGCAACATAAGAACGACTTTTCAGTGGAACAAGACCAGTGTCAGTAATCCTTGCCTATTTGACTATACTAGAAATGATCCCATTAAATTATATTTTACAAGCTTTTTAAGCTTGATTCTGCTTGATTATTTGTGCTGCAACATAACCAGCAGGGAAAGTCAGTGCTCTATATGTTGTTCTTAACAAATATTTAATTAATTTATGGAATGCCTTACCTCTGAAAGTGTCAAGGAGGTGCTTGCCAACATACCAGCACACGGTCTCAAAGTTAGGAAACTTAAACAAGTCTGCTGTGCTGAGTCTCTTCTCTATTTCATATGCTCTGAGAAAGACATAAAAATGATTTGGTAAGTTAAGCATGTTATTCACAGTAATACACCCACCTAGATATTTGAATGAGTGGATTAACACCTTACCGAAGCTGCATGTCGATGTTGAGGCTGTGAAGAAAATTTCCTCCAAATGCCAGGCAGTCAACAGGAGTAAGAACTGCATGGATCCAACCTGACAGAAGAAAATATACCACAGGACACT